CAACATTAGGAAAGTTGAGAACCACTATTATAAATGGCCATACTTACTACCTTGGGTGTCTCAAAAATTTTGTTGAAAACATCTTTTTAAATTATACGGTATGGCTATTTTGGAAACTTGATTTTCTTCTCTCCTAAAGGTTTTTGGTACTTTTTCTACTAGTTATTCTTTATTTAGTGAGTTTGTGAATCAATTCAGTAAAGTCCCTTTTGTGTATGTGCCCACTGTAGGGTATGCTTGGTTAGCCTAGTGCTCAGCTAGTGATTGAATAGAAAGAGATTTATTTAATGTCTAGAAATAATAAGTCTTCCAGTCATTACTCTATGTGTATTTTGATGCATGTATTCAACACTCACCCAGACAGTAAACAACTCTACTTTCTCCTGCTGTTCCAGCTTAAGGCCAATTAGAAGTGACATCTTAAAGCTAAGTTTTTTTCTGAGCGTATGTTCAGCCCTACAAATGCATATTATCTTCCATATTTGTAGAAAAGTATCAGGCTTTTCAAAGCTCCCATGGACATCCAAAGATTTTTTTTTAAATTTTTTCTTTTTATAATTTTTTAATATCTTCCTTGATCTCCTCAGTAACCCATTTATTGTTTAATAACATGCTATTTAGCCTCCATGTCTTTGCATGTTCTTGTTGCAGTTGATTTCTAGTTTCATGCCATTGTGATCTGACAAGATGCTTGATATGATTTCAGTCTTCTTGAACTTTAATGAACTTGCCTTGTGTCCTAACATCTGGTCTGTTTTTGAGAATGTCCCATGTACACTTGAGAAGAATGTGAATTCTGTAGTTTTGGGGTGTAATTCTCGGTAGATACCTATTAAATTCATTTGGTCTAGTGCTTCATTGTGTTTTGGTGTGGGTCTGTTTTGGGTTCTTCTTACTTTGGGCTCTCTGTGCTTCTTGAACTTGAATGTCTTCCTTCACCAAATTAGGAAAGTTTTCTGTCACTATTTCTTCAAATATGTTCTCTAACCCTTGTTCCTTTTCTTCTAATTTGGATACTTTTATGATGCTTTTTCTTGTTTTTTAATCGTTTTTTTCTGCTTGATTGATTTTTTTCTACCCTGTCTTCTGATTCACTGATCAGGTCCTCTGCTTCCTCTATTCTGATGTTTAGTCTTTCCAATGTGTTAATTTCTGCTATCATCTCCTCCTCTTCCTCCTCCTCCTCCTCCTCCTCCTCCTCCATTTTTAATTTCCAGTTGGTTGATTTTAAGTGTTTTTATGTCTTTACTCATGGTGCTCATGTCCTCACACATGCTGTTGATCTTTCTCAAGATCATGGCTCTGAATTCTACCTCTGTTAACTTGCCTAACTGCATTTTATTTATCTCATCTCTTGTTATTTCATTTGGGATTTGTTTCTTTGTTTCACCATTTTGGCAGTCACTATAGTGGGCAGTCACTATAGTGGGCAGAATAGGAGTAGAGTGGGCTCCCAGCCCACCTCTCGTGCCTCCTCAATTTTACCATGATCGAGTCAGTGTCCATGGTACACATGGTCCTCTCAAGCTGCTTTTCTGTTGCTTTTTCCTGATGATTTGTCTTTAATTTATTTGTAATTCCAGTTTGGTCCTGTGAGATGGTCTGTGTAGCTCCATTCACTCCGCCGCCATTTTGGAATCTCTCTTTTAAAAGAATTTTGATTAGTTTCTTGTTTTCTCTAGCTATTATCCTTTAATTCTCGGAGTTAAAGACTTTTCACACTGCGGATTCAGACAGCTTTCAAAGTGAAATCTTCTAGAGAACATCAGAAAAATCAAATGGTAATTCTCATGGAATACTTTAAAGAACCTCTATCCCACCCTGACCGGTTTGTCTCAGTAGTTAGAGAATCAGCCCGTAGACAAGGATTTGGTTCCCTCTAAGGGTATGTACCTCAGTTGCAGTTTGTTCCCAGCCTGGTTGGGGTCATGTGGGTGGCAGCCAGTCAATGTGTCTCTCTCTCTTCTCCCCTCTTTTCCCTTCTGCTCTGTCTGAAAATAAAAATCTCCTTGGGTAAGGATAAAAAAAAAAAACAAAAAAAACTCTACTCCTATTCTGCCCACTATAGTGACTGCCAGCCTGTTGGTTTTTACCATAAATTTATGTTATATACAAAACTACCACAGAGCTGGTAAAAAGGAATGGGACTGCGGCAAGTTAAAAAGTAACAAAACTTGCTGTTCTTACTGGAGATCTAATACCTTCCTTTTTTTTTTTTTTTTTAATCCTCACCCAAGGATATTTTCCATTTTTTGTACAGATAGAGTGGGAGGGGGAGAGAGGAAGGAGAGAGAGAGAGAAACGTCGACGTGAAGGGACACATTGAGTGGCTGCCACCCGCACGACCAACCAGGGCCGGGGACAAACTGCAACCGAAGTACATGCCCTTAGCGGGAACCAAACCCGGGTCTCTCCGGACCGCAGACCGACGCTCTAACCGCTGAGCCAGACTGGCCAGGGCCTTTTTTTAAAAATTTAAATAAATACGCCACATACTGCTGCAAGTCTTTGGATAAATTTCAGAGCTTTGAAAGTGATTTTGACAGTTTGTTTTTCCGGAGCAAGGAGTTATGGAGGGCTTTTAACTCTGCTGTTTTACTAACATCATCTTTTTGATCTATGTTTACATCATCTATTATATTTTATCATAAGACTTTCCTGTACACAATTTGCTTTTATTTTTGGAATCTGATTTTTTTACCCTCACCTGAGGATATATTTGTTGATTTTATTTATTTATTTATTTATTTATTTATCCTCACCCAAGGACATTTTTTCCATTTTTTGTTCAGATAGAGGCAGGAGAGAGAGAGAAACATCAACGTGAAAGAGACACATTGAGTAGTTGCCACCTGCATGACCCAATCAGGGCCAGGGACAAACTGCAACTGCTGAGGTACATGCCCTTAGCAGGAACCGAACCCGTGTCTCTCTGGACCGCAGACCGATGCTCTAACCGCTGAGCCAAACCGGCCAGGGCTATTTGTTGATTTTAGAGAGTGAGCGAGGGAGAGAGAGAAAAAAATCATCGATGTGAGAGATATATCAGTCTGTTGCCTCTCGTACACACCCTTACTGGGGATGGAATGAACAATCCTAGGTATGTGTCCTGGCCAGAAATCAGACTCGCAACCTTTTGGTGTATGGCATGATGCTCCAAGCAACTGAGCCACCATGCCTAGGTGTTTTGTTTTGTTTTTTAATTAAGAAATTTAGGAAATACCAAAAAGCACAAATGGCTAAGAGACATGAAGAAATGCTCAACATCACTAATCATCAGAAACATCCAAATTAAAACAACAGTGAGGTAGCACCTCACACCTGTCAGAATGGCTGCCATCAACAAATCAAACAACAGGTGTTGACAAGGGTATGAAGATAAGGGGACTGTAGTACACTGCTGGTGGGAAGGCAGACTGGCGCAACCACTATGGAAAACAATATGATGTTACCTCAAAAAATTAAAAATTGAACTGCCATTTGACCCAGTGATCCCATTTGTAGGAATATACTCTGAGAAACCTGAAACGCCAGTCAGAAAGAATATATGTACCCCTATGTTCACAGCAGTGTTATTTACAATAGCTAAGATTTGGAAACAGACCAAGTATCCATCAGTAGATTAAAAAGCTGTGGTACTTGTACACAATGGAATACTATGCAGCTGTAAGAAAGAAAAGTCTCTTATCATTTGAGATGGCATGGAAGGACCTGGAGAATATTCTCCTAAGAGAAACAAGCCAAGCAGAGAAACACAAATATCACATGATCTCTCTTATTTGTGGAATATAGTGAACTAAACAAACTGTTGAACAAAATTAACCCAGAGATGTAGAGGTGGGGTACAGACTGACAAGCCTCAGAGGAGGTGGTTTAGGTGGGGAGAGATAAACCACAAAATTACATGAATGTAAGCAGACCAGTGAACATGGACAACAAACCTGGGGGTGGGGTGGGTAGGAAGGGGAGGAGGGTGTCAATGGGGGAAAATGAGGAACATCTGTAATAGAAACAAATTAATAAATAAAAAATTCAAAGAAAACAGGAAATATGTTTATGCAACTCTTTATTGTACCATTATACAAACAGGTAAGTAGAATAATGTAATGCCAACACTGTGTCATGATATTGTTGGTACCAGTGCTACACAAATTAGAATTCCAAATATGGGTGAGGTAAAGAAGGATACTTTATTTAGTTGGCTGTGGAAGATCAGTAGTTACCTCTCAATTGTACTGCTTGGCTTCTGCTAGCTTCCCACAGTCAGGGCCCTTCTCTATCTAGACAGCTCCACCTTGCTCTTCTGTTCTGCTCTGGTGACACACCTTCATTGTTCCCAGCTGGGTAGACAGCTGAACAAGAAAAATGCAGTTGCTGAGCTAAAGGGAAGTGACTTGTATAGAAGGAAAACGCCCTGTACCTCATTGATTTGTCCTTATGGAAATGAGGACTTGAAATTCTTGTTGTGTTTTATTGGTCTAAAAAGCACTTGTCCTGATTGGTTGGTGAAAATCCTAATTGGGATATAACTGTGCTCCAGTTGGACAGGGAACGCCCAATCCTGTTATTTGAAACAGGAACTCCTTTGTAAGAACTGGCTTAGATGGCAGCAACACAGTATAGGCAAGCAGTTTAGTTCAGGCTTCTTGAAATGCAGTTTTCATGTGAGGTCCCTCTTTAGAATGGCTGCTAGACTTTATGTTTCAATTTTGTGTCCAGGAGTCCTTGGTAGTTATTTTTCTTGGTTGACACTTGTATACTGCCAATGACCAATAACAGTAACCAGTTTATTTCTGCAAATTAATCATGAAATTTATGTCTTTCAACCTGTATTAAGATAGAATATCTTACTAAATGAAATTCATTTAGAGTGAGACAGACATCTCATCTCATTTGCACTTCTAGTGTAATCAAGAGAATCTTTGCAAAGGTAAAGTCAGTCAAATCAATACAGTATTTTAAGAAATAAAAACTTAGAAATATATCTTATTTATAATCAGGAGTTGGAACAAAAATTGACCCCACTTTGTGCCGTGCTGACAGAATGGTGGGGCAGGTGGTTGGTGCAGTTGGAACTTTACCAGAGATCTTCACAGAATTGGAAATCTCATATTTTCTACTTAGACGGCTTCTTGGTGTGCGCACAGAAGGGGACAAAAAAGCAGCAAAGGTAAGTGCTTTTTATCATTCAAAAACCCAAAGTATGATGTTTTAATCAGTTTTGTTTCATTCTCTTAAAATTAAAGGACAAGGTGAATAATTTGAAATTTTCTATATGGCAACCAGGCTTAAAGTCAGAGTTTTCTTACTAAACTTATTGGAGTAACATAAATTTGGGGTGTATAGCTTTATTATTACAAAATATCTGTACTATCATGTGCTCACAACCCTGAGTGTAAATCTCCTTCAGTCACCACATTTGATATCTTTTACTCTTTGTCTCCCTCTCACTTCCCTTCCCTTCTGCCCTCTTGTAACCACCATTTCTAATTTGTTTGTTCATATGTTATTTTTTGTTTTATATTCAACACATAAGTGAAATAATTTTTGTTCTTTTTCATCTGACTTACTTCATATAGCATAACGTATATGGAGACAAACAGTAGTCAAGTGTCATCCTGTGCATGTCATTTCCTAATTTTCCCAGCTCCATTTAGTGAAGAGGCTTTGTTTTCTCCATTGTGTGTTTTGGGCTCCTTTGTTACAAATTGTATTTTTCCTTATACATGTGGGTTTGTTTCTATGCTTAATTCTGTTTCATTGGTTTGTGTGTCATTTTTTCTGCCTATACTATACTGTTTTGATTATTGTCACTTTGTAGTATACTTTGAAGTCAGAGGTTGATACCTCTGGCTTCACTGTTTTTTGGTCTCAAGATTGTGTTGGCTATTCAAGGTCTTTTGTGGTTTTAGGTGAATTTGATATTTTTTGGTGAAAAATGAATTTATATGTGTTTGGGGTATATATTATAAACACTATTTCTAGCATACATGTGATTTTTAGAAAAGACTTAAGAATTTGTTGATAAACATAAATGGAAATAAGCACCCGTATTGACAGTATAGATGTGTAACATTTTTATATATCAATTCGGTGACAGTTAACCAACATTTTAGATGTGCAAACACCATTTTATCAGTTTTCAAAGTAGTTCATCATCATCATCATCATTTATTGTTAATGTTAGTGGAGGATATTTTTTAATTGACTTTTTTAGACAGAGTAGAAGGGAAGCAGGGTGGGGGGAGAGAGAGAGAGAAATCCTGATGTGAGAAAGACACATCAGTGTTGTAATGGAATTTGAAATATAAATATTCTGCAGGTGTCAAAGCAAAAGGTTTAATACACAATGAATACTTAAGGTCTTACTGTAAAATAAGCTACTAAGTATAGCATAGATTAATCAGTGATTTACTCAAGATTGTATTCTTAAATAAGCTCCGAGATACAGAATACATTAATCAAGAAACTTAAATTTTTGAAAGGTTTAAAAGATTTCCTCAAAGACAGTAATTAAATAATTAAGTGGTTCTAGAGCTCTAATTCCGTTCATGTGTCATAAACAAGGTACTTAAACTTTCTGGTCTCTAAAATAGGGTAACACCTACTACTAAATAATTAACTGCTGTACTGATTATTACTTTTGTCTACACTTACAGCTTAATGCCAAGGTGTGTCCCAGGAGGCAACCAATACCCCCTCTGTTTCCCCCTTCCTCTTTTCCACTTTAAAATTTAATCGATGGAAAAAACATAACCTTGGGTGAAGAATAACAAAAAAACAATAACAAAGAAATTGTTTTGAATATGAGTTAAGTGTGTTTTTAAAACTTAAATTTATCTCCCCTGTTTTCTGGAGTTTCTTTAAGGAAGATTTATTTTTCTTAGTCTGACTTGTAGTGAAAACACTGAGGTATCTGAAGCAGTATAGCAGTTAGTAATTATTTAGTAGTAGGTGTTACCCTAATTTATAGAGGTCAGAAAGTTTAAGTACTTTATTTATGTCACATGAATGAAATTAGAGCTCTAGAACCACTTAATTAATGAAGTATTATCTTTGAGCAAATTTTGTAAACCCTTCAAAAATTTAAGTTTCATTGATTAACGTATTTTATATTTTGATGTATTTTATATTTTGGGACTTATCGTAGAGTAAGACCTACAAAGTACACATATACCTTGATATATTCATTGAGTGTTAAACCTTTTGTTTTGACACCTGCAAAATAATTATACTTCAAATCCCATTACAATGTAACTTCTGCAGAATTTTATTTTGTTTCTTTATAGATTACTTAAATCCAGGAGTATTTGTTAAATTCTTAGTTTATATTGGAAAGATTGTCTCCATTTTGGGTTTATTTTTTTCTAATTTATTTCCCTAGGTGCAAAAGCTGTGTAAGAATGAAGTGCTTATGATGAACGTAGGATCCCTGTCAACAGGAGGCAGAGTTAGCGCAGTTAAGGCCGATTTGGGCAAAATAGTACTCACTAATCCTGTGTGCACCGAAGTGGGAGAGAAAATTGCCCTTAGCCGAAGAGTTGAGAAACATTGGCGGTAAGTTTGTCAGCTTTGCCAGCGTTTAATCAAGAAAAACAACATATGTTCTTGTAGTGTACTAGGTCTTGATGGTGTATGTGCATGTGTGCACTCACACACTTTTCTTTGAATTACAGTTTTCATGGTTTAACTCTCAGTTGTATATTTGGATAACTGAAATCTATATTTCAAACCCTGATTAAGCCACAGTTTACTTTTTCTTCACCTATTGCTTTGTCCTTTCTTTAATCTCAGACATAGTCTATTCAAAATAATATTTTAGTTTTGTTTGACTTACTATATTTTCGTCCATATACACATAACTAAGTATAAAATATTAGGGTTTTTTGTTGTTAAACCACTGAGTGGGTTACATTAACATTGATAAAATAGTAAAACCTATGCTCTATATCCTAGGCTTGTTGTTTAATCTTTATATTGTCCTGGTTTCTTTTGCCTTAGCCACAGATCATCCATTTCATTTTTTTTTTTATATTTCTGTGCTCTCTTTTTTAAAATTGTACTTCCTTAAGTTTTCTTTCATTTCTTTAAAATGAATTGACATTTAAACAATACAAGCCAGTTAATTTGTGGAATGTTTCTCAATTAGTTTGTCTGATATTCTCTCATATTCATTGAGGCTATGTATTCTAGGGCAGAGATGCTATTTTAGTGATACATATTGTGTTCATATCTGGAATCACATTCAGAGGCATACAGTAACAGGCTGAACCTAACTGGTTAGGTTAATTTTGTTTATACATTCGATCTGTTTCCTCTGTTGTTTTAAGGTTACATTTATACACTTAAAAAAGCAATCTAGCCCAGGCCGGTTTGGCTCAGCGGTTAGAGCATCGGCCTGCGGTCCGGAGAGACCTGGGTTCGGTTCCTGATAAGGTCATGTGCCTCGGTTGCAGTTTGTCCCCAGCCCTGGTTGGTCGTGCGGGTGGCAGCCACTTGATGTGTCCCTTTCACATCGATGTTTCTCTCTCTCTCTCTCTCTTCCTCTCTCTCCCTCCCACTCTATCTGTGCAAAAAATGGAAAAAAATGTCTTCGGGTGAGGATAAATTTAAAAAAAAAGCAATCTATAGCAACAACCCTTTGTACTGTATAAATGGTCTGCATCTTACCAAACTGTTTCTCTATTTTTTACTTGATTATTCTTGCCTGAACTGACTAGGATAGCAAAATATTGATTTACTTCTAATTCTGCCACTTCTCAACATTTATCATTTGATATTCCCTTTGCCTTATTTATTTACTTATTTTTTTTGTTTGTTTTATTTCTGTTTATTTATTTCTTTATTTTCTGTTACAGATGTTTCTCCTTTTTCCTCTACTGATTCCCCCCTCCCCATCCTTCCCCGCCCTGTCCCCAGCTTTGTTGTCCATTTTCATTGTTCATGCATATGAGTTTTGTATTTTATCTCTCCCCCACAACCCCCTCTTCTGGAGATTATCAGTCTGTACCCCGCTTCCACATCTCTGGGACTGCCCCATTCTTCAGACTTTTATGTTCATAATAGTCTACAAATAAGTGAGATAATATGATACTTTCTCTGCACGGCATTTTTGACTTAAAATAATATTCTCCAGGTCCCTTCATGTCGTCTTTCTACACCTGCATAGTACTCCATTAGGTGTATGTACCACAGCTTGTTTATTCATTAGTCTACTTTTGGACATTTGGGCTGTTTCCAGATCTTAGCTGTTGTAAATAGTGCTGCTACAAACACGGGGATACATATATTCTTTCTGATTGGTGATTCAGCCTTCTTAGGGTATATTCCTAGAAGTGGGATCACTGGGTCAAATGGAAGTTCAATTTTTAATTTTTTGAAGTAACACCATATTGTTTTCCATAGTGGCTGCACCAGTCTGCATTCCCACCAGCAGTGTACTAGAGTCCCCTTTTCTCCACACCCTCGCCAACACTTGTTGTTGTTTTTTTTTTGTTTTATTATCCTCATCCGAGGATATTTTTCCATTTGTTTTGTACAGATAGAGTGGGAGGGAGAAAGAGGAAGGGAGAGAGAGAGAGAAACATCAACGTGAAGGGACACATCGAGTGGCTGCCACCCGCACGACCAACCAGGGCCGGGGACGAATGGCAACCGAAATACGTGCCCTTAGCGGGAACCAAACCCAGGTCTCTCCGGACCGCAGGCCAACGCTTTAACCGCTGAGCCAAACTGGCCAGGGCTGTTTGATGATTTGTTGATGGCGGCCATGCTGACAGGTGTGAGGTGATACCTCATTGTTGTTTTAATTTGCATCTCTCTGATGATTAGTGATGATGAGTATTTCTTCATATGTTTCTTAGCCATTTGTATGTCCTGTTTGGAGAGGTGTCTATTCAGTTTCTCTGCCCATTTTTTAAGTGGATTCTTTGTCTTCCTTTTGTGGAATTATATGAGCACTTTATATATATTGCAAATTACCCCTTATCTGATATATCATTGGCAATGATGCTCTCCCATACAGTGGGTAGCCTTTCTGTTTTGATGATTGTATCTTTTGCTGTGCAGAAGATTTTGAGTTTGATGTAAGCCCATGTGTTCATTTTCTCCTTTCTTTATATTGCCTTAGGTGATGTGCCAGTAAAAATTCTGCTGCGTATGAAGTCTGAAATTTTGTTGCCTACAGTCTCTTCTAGGATTTTTATGGATTCATGAGTTACATTTAAGTCTTTTATGCATTTTGAGTTTATTCTCGTGTAGGGTGTAAGTTGATGGTCTAGTTTCATTTTTCGGCAAGTAGCTGTCCAATTTTCCCAGCACCATTTATTAAAGAGGCTGTCCTTACTCCACTGTATGCTCTTGCCACCGTTGTCAAATATTAATTGAGCATATTGCCTTGGGTCCATTTCTGGGTTCTCTGTTTTGTTCCACTGGTCTATATGCCTGTTCTTGTGCCAGTACCATGCTGTTTTGATTACAGTGGCCTTGGAGTATAACCTGAAATCTGGTATTGTGATCCCTCCAACTTTGTTCTTCCTTTTCAAGATTTCTGTGGCTCTTCGAGGCCTTTTTTGGTTCCATATGAACTTTTGAAATAATTGTTCTAATTCTGTGAAGTATGCTGTTGGTATTTTGATGGGGATTGCGTTGAATCTATAATATGGACATTTTAATGATGTTAATTCTCCCAATCCATGAACAGGGTATGTGCTTGCACTCTTTTATATCTTCCTTTATTTCTTTTTTCAATGACCTGTAATTTTCTGCGAATAGGTCTTTTATTTCTTTGGTTAAGTTTATTCCTAGGTATCTTAATTTTTTTGCCGCAATGGTAAATGGGATTTTTTTCTTAGTTTCTCTTTCTGTGAGTTCATCATTGGTGTATAAGAATGCCATTGATTTCTTGACGTTAATTTTGTATCCTGCTACTTTGCCAAATTCATTTATTAAGTCTAGTAAACTTTTGATGGAGTCTTTGGTATTTTCTATGTATAGTATCATGTCATCTGCAAATAATGACAATTTTACTTCCTCCTTTCCAGTTTGGATCCCTTTTATTTTTTCTTCCTGTCTGATTGCTGTGGCTAAGACTTCCTGTACTATGTTAAATAGGAGTGGTGAAAGTGGGCATCCCTGTCTTGTTCCTGTCTTAAGGGAAATGCTTTTAGTTTTAGCTCATTGAGTATGATGTTGGCTGTATGTCTTTCATATATGGCCTTTATTTTGTCTAGATATGATCCCTCTATTCCCACACTGCTGAGCGTTTTTATCAGAAATGGATGCTGGATTTTTGTCAAAGGCTTTTTCAGCATCTATTGATATTATCATGTGGTTTTTTTCTTCATTTTATTTAAGTGGTGTATCACATTTATGGATTTGCGCATAGTGTGCCAGCCTTGCATCCCTGGTATGAACCCCACTTGGTCATGGTGGATAATTTTTTTGGTGTACTGCTGGATCCGATTTGCTAGTATTTTGTTCAGGATTTTGGCATCTGTGTTCATCAGGGATATTGGCCTGGAGTGTTCTTTCTTTGTTGTGTCTTTTTATGGTTGTGGAATTAGAATTATGCTGGCTTCATAAACCGAGTTTGGAAGTCTTCCTTCTTCTTGAATTTTTTGAAATAGTTTGAGGAGATGGGTATTAGTTCTTCTTTGAATGTTCGGTAAAACTCCCCCGTGAAGCCATCCGGGCTTGGGCATTTGTTTGCTGGGAGAGTCATGATTACATCTTCAATTTTTTCTGTTGTTATTTGTCTGTTCAAGTTTTCTATCTCTTCCTGATCCAGTTTTGGGAGACAGTGTGTCTAGAAATTTGTCCATTTTGCTTAGATTGTCGAATTTGTTGCCATATAATTGTTCATAGTAGTTGTTAACGATCTTTTGTATTTCTGTGGTTTCAGTTATTATCTCTCCTCCTTCATTTCTGATTCTGTGTATTTGGATTCTCTCTCTTTGTTTCTTGATGAGTCTAGCTAAGGGTCCATCAATCTTGTTTATCTTTTCGAATAACCAGCTGTTTGTTTCATTGATCCTTTGAATTGTTTTTTGGTCTCTATGTCATTTATTTCTGCTCTTATCCTTACTATTTCCTTCCTTCTACTTGCTCTGGGGTTTTCTTTTTGTTTGCACTCTAGTTCTTTAAGTTGTGAGGTTAGATAGTCTATTAGAGATTTTTCTTCTTTTTTTGAGGTAGGCCTGTAGTGCTATGAACTTCCCTCTCAGAACTGCTTTCGCTGCATCCCATAGTTTTTGTGTTGTCGTGTGTTCATTTTCATTGGTTTCCAGGAAGTTTTTGATTTCTTCCTCGATCTCCTCAGTGACCTATTCATTGTTTAATAACATACTATTTAGCGTCCATGTGTTCAAATGTCTTTGTATGTTCTTCTTGCAATTGATTTCTAGTTTCATGCCATTGTAATCTGAGAAGATGCTTGATATAATTTCTATCTTCTTGAACTTGTAGAGACTTAGTTTGTGCCCTAACATGTGGTCTACCTTTGAGAATGTTGCATGTACACTTGAGAAGAATGTGAATTCTGTAGTTTTGGGGTGTAG